CCTGAAATAACAGAGGTTGGGTATAGCGAGCCGTAGATCACGTTAAGGGGAGCACATCTGTGTAACTGGAGGAACTTTGTCAGGAGAGAGAAGGCAACCGTTAATTCCTGTAGCTTATTAACCTCTTGAGGGCCACGTGCAGCATCCAGACATCATCCGTGGTCTGATAGCGCGTATACGTGATGTGGCTATCAAATTACCCGTAGAAAAACGCAGCCACTTTTGCTGCCTGCTGAAACACATCAGGAGATAACGCTGTGAGCTCAGGCCACCTGTGTTTTTGAAGGTAGAAGTTAAAGCTTTGTGAGGGGTGCTTATACAGGTGCTTCTGTAAATGTGTGTGTAATTCACAATATGTCTATGTAATTCATATAATAACTTTGTTCACTATGGCACTGTTCTCCAACCACTGCGCTAGGCAGTAACTCCACAGGATATGAGAATGAGTGTCTCTTCAGAGATACAGATGATGCTTATTTTAGGTAAACAAAACATTCAGAAGTTGCCACAATGATTAAAGATAAACACAGTTCTCAAGGGAAGTTTTATGGGTATAAACAAAAGACATTCTTGTTCATCTTTCGCGTTCATTTCAAAAATGCACATAATTGCTAAATCCTTCCCATGTGATTCTTGCAGCTTGTGTTCTTTAACTAGATAATGTAGCATATGTTTTAGTACCCGTAGTTCCACAATTGAAGTTCAGTGATATCTGCAATGATATTTTGATTAATTTACTTGTAATTCAATTTAGTATAATTAGAAATACCTATCAATAACTCTCCATGTTTCAAAGTCATTGTATGACTTACATCAGGTGTCATCATTGAAATTTTATATTTACGGTTTAAATTTAAATTTACAGTTTCCAGTAAAGAAGTGGTGTGTTCAGCCTATAACTGTAAGTCATTCATATAAAGCCTTAATTTCATCTTAAAACTGCATCATGATTTTGTGTTGGCTGGTGGATCCCATATGCTGGGAATGGCTCTTCACTGCTGGGAGATTCGGGTGTGACTGCGGAGGACAGAATTTGAGCATTCGCTCTCGGCTGCTTCACCTTTTGCTCTTCTTTTTTAATTGTCCTTATTCTCTCAACTTCATATGGCTGTGCTTTTCTTTTTTTGTTTGACACTGATCTTGGGAGGGGAAAGAGAGAAAATGCTGATGAGATTGTAATAGTTTGGGGTGTGTTGTGCTCAGAGAGGGGCAGAGTCTTAGTCCAATTTTATGCAAGACACCATCATAATAAGGTACATTATTGCAGATAGCACAGTAAGCTGTTGTGGGTCATAACAATCATCTGTCACGTCCTGTGATTCACAGACAAATCAATTATTTCTGAAGTGACCCAAAGGATGAGATTTTAACATCATGTCTTTTAAGTCAACATCTGGAGTTTGCGTGTGGATAGCCTGCAGTGCGGGATTCGGGCTGTTCTGTCAAGAGCCCAATTTTGGAAATACTTTTCCTAGCATTCTTTATCAGTATTACGAACTCCTCCCCTTATGAATGAAAATACAGAGCAACAGATTATTGTGGGTAATCTTTTTTGCACGGTATATGGTAACACAGCGCTCCTCTGAAGCAGCAAGTCACTTTTCACAGAAGCTGTCTGCTGATGGTTAAATTTCACTCGAGACCCATGGCAACCGTACGGAGCTGTGTGACAAAGCAGTGGCAACAAGTTTGATCATTCAATTCAGAAAATATGTTTCACAATAAGAAATTATTTATTTCAACCTGATGGGGTTTTGGTTTGGTAAGTGTTATTTGTGCTACTGAAATAATCTGGCAAGACAAAGGATAAAAGAACCCCTTCTTCATAATCCAACGTATGGCTGCTTGTTGGGACTTGTGCCAAACCTTCACCTTCAGATCATCCATGGCAACTCTATGTGGGGGGTTTAAAGACAGTTTAGGGGAACATAGGTGGTAATTTCAGTCATCTGTCTTTTACTGAAAAAACAGATATTAACTTAGATAAAAATTAGTTGGAGCAACTACTCATTTTTAATGTACAAAAGCGAAGTTTTCTGTACTTTAAAACTTACACTTGTTAGCTGAAAGCAGTGGCAGTTTGGGGGCTAAGATGGAATTAGGAAAGTTGGAAAGTCAGGAAACAGCTGACACCAGTTTAAAAAGTGAATTATTTTTACAAGTGTTTTGTTATCCAGGAATTAAGCTGAATGCCAGCCAGTTCTTAGCAGCACTATATAAATGAAAAGAAATGCAAAAACAAGTCTGCCGGTTCCTTCCCATGTCGCTGTCACTGGGTAACTGTTAACACCTACCTTAGTCACTCCTTCAACGGGCCATGAAATTGTCCCAGCTTTTAAAATGTGTGAGAGAATTAAGGCAGGTGCTGGCACATCATAAATGAAAATCTAACCTTCAGGCTGGTACAGTAGTGACATTGTTACTGTTTGCATTCTTGAAAACACATGGCTTGTCAAGCTGCAGTAAAATTATATTGTGCGTTTATATTATTAAAACTTGGTGGGGTCTTTGGGCTGCCCACAAGAAGTGTGAGCCTTACAGGTGTAAGAAAGTATATTAGTTACTGATACTGAGTACGTAAGTATGTATTTTTTGTTGTCGTTACTGACTTTGTGTCGCTCAATGGCTGTTGGATTACTTAAGGAAGAAACTTGCTACAGAAGACGCTCACCCATCTGCTGTTGGAGAAATCAAATAGTAAACCATCTATGATCCAAAAAAATCTTAATGACTTCTCTGAAAAACCTCTCAGAATAATAATACTCATAAAACCAGCGTACGAAGTCATATTTTAATTTCACAGCAGAACAAACGCTCAGCATTTTTTCATAAAAAGAAACAGCAGAATAGAGAAAGTCCTCTTCGGTCCACGGATATTTTTCCTGAGCTCTTATTTAAACCTGAAATCCAGTGAATTGCTATGCAGCTTCTTATCTCAAGCAATCATTACTGTTCTCTAAACAGAATGGTTTATCTTCAGTTTCGTACAAGGTTCCTCTTACGAAACCAAACTGTGTTGAATCTTACTACCTTCAAACAACTGTCCAGTTTCTGTCCTCCCTTTTTCCCAAACTTACACCAGACTGCAAAATGAAAACATGGCAACTGTACGTGAGGTTCTGTTAAAAGTTCGGATGAATTACCTACGTCCTTATCGGTTTTAGGAAGCTTGCATATTTTTCTTAGTAACAATAAGGTGATTTAATTACTCTAATTACTGATTTAGTCACTGTATAAAAACTGCCTTGGTTTTTGTGTCACATTTAGCCCTATATGAAAATCTCCTAATAGAGCATTAGGGAATTGGAATTATCCTGGTACTGAGTGAAAAGAACATACTCTGTTGTGTAACCAGAAATGTATGCGTTGCCTGAATATACTTGCTTTCCTAATTGTAGAACTAAAATATTTTCTTCATTTGTAATTTGCCTTAATATGTAGGGAGGACAGTAGACAATACCATAGGATTATTAATCTATTCTTAGTTCTTTCTTTTATCTCATATTCCAAAAGTGGGTCATACAGTTGTGCTTTCAAACTGTATTTTGAGGTCTCTTTGGTGTCACTTTTTTGGTTTTATAGCCAAGATCACCTTGCATGCTAGTGCTGCGCAATAGTGAGGTATCCCAGTGACACTCCCATGAGGTAGCAAGGTAATGCTATTTTCAACGGCATAGCTAGGGAACAGAGGCACGGAAGGGTAAGAGCAGTTTTCCCGTACCGGCCTCTGTCTCATCATTTAGGCTCCCTCTAGACATCTGCAGTTCGGTGCTATATCACCCCCCCGTGACTTAGCCTGGATCACATTAAAGTCTGTGGCAGGCAGTGTCCTGAACTTCCATGTCCTATGTTAGTACTCTTTTTACTGGAACGTATTTCTTTTCTGAAATAAACACATATATGATGCTGAAGCATAGGGATTTGAGTACTGCTCCTTCATGTGGATTGGCACGAAGCATGAACTTTAGGATTTTTATATCACTATTTTAAAGTTTTTGCTGTTTCTCTTATTAAATAATTGAGAATGTCATCCTTCACCTTGGGTTTCATGGTTTCTGTACTGATTGCTTTTCACAGATACTACACTCTCAGGGGAAGTTGGCACCAAGAAAAAAGTGAAAAGACTGTTAAGTTTCCAGAGATATTTCCATGCATCCCGGTTACTGCGTGGAATTGTACCGCAAGCCTCTCTGTACCTACTGGATGAGGACTACCTTGGGCAAGCAAGGGTAAGACGGGTTTTCAGATCTCCATTTCTTTTAATGGTATTCCAGAGAGTGTCAGTTTTGTTTCAGTCTTCAGATAAATGAATGTATGGCTGATCTCTCTTAAATGATCCAGGTCACTTGCCTGCCTCACAGCGAACAGTCTGTCCGTTCCTCTTTTATGGTTACAGCTTTAAAGGCTTAGTCTCAAAGCAACAAGAAAATACCTAAATCTATTCAGCATTTTGAGATTCTGTCAACTGAAATTATAATCTGGATTTATTAAAGGATGATGGATCCCTGGCTGAGTTACTGATTTAAGTAAGTGCAACCTCGACACAGGATTTAGTTCATCCGCTTGAAAAAAGACAGCTGTCTCTCAGCTGGTACGGAGCAGCTCTTGGGCAGCCCGCGATAGCTCTCCGTAATGGCACAGGCTAGGAGACAGGGAACATTCACTGCAAAGAACTTCACAATAATAAAAATCTAATTCCCTTATTTTGCAGCTCTTATACTTGCTTTGAATGGTATTTTCTAGCAAAACTCGCACAACTGATGGCATTAGGATTATGTGCCTAGGCAATTTTTCTTCTCTGCAAGAGAAGATTACATGCCAGGTGTTAGTAACTAATTAAGAATCCAGAACTGGTTTGAATATAGACTAAGTGATGAGGGCGCACAGACATTTCATTCACACGTGTGCCGTTGTAGGTCATAGAGTTAGTCCAGACTCAATCTCTTGACTGAGCTGGTGTAGCTGTAAAAGCGCTGTACGTGGTGGTAATGATGGACTCTTCTGCGGGGCTGAGTGGGCTTCACAGAAGCACTGTATCTAAGTTTATAACAGCTATTCCTGTGTATTGGTTTGTTTAGCAAAATGTAATTCATATTCATCATGAGAGCTAAGATTGTGTTTTACTGTAATAAAAGCCTAAGAGAATTTGTACTGAATTGATTTGGGGACATGAAAGAACAATAAAAAAAGTTGTGCAGTAAAAGGGAATATTTTCATAATATTTTGTTTTATATTATTCCATGTTTTGAGCTCCATTTAGAAGGTATTTTTAGTGTCAAGTTCAAAACCTCCTCAGTTAAAACTGCAAGTGATATTTTACGCAGTATAGCTTAATTTGGTTCCTGATGTCTAATATTTCAAATACAACTCTTTTCCCGAACAAAACTTTAAAGCTGCAGCAACCGATCCTGTGATTGATTAATGTGGAATAATAATATAAATCTGCTTTACAGTTTGACATACCAGTCATTTGCCTTTTCGTGTTTGTTTTTTCTAGCATATGCTATCCAAAGTGGGGATGTGGGATTTTGACATTTTCTTGTTTGACCGCTTGACAAATGGTAAGTAATTTTTTTTTACGTTTTTATTTTAATATTTCTCATATATGAATATTCTAAAAAACCCTAATTAATTAATTGCTAAATGTTTACAGTTTAGATTGCTGAAGAGAAGTTGGACACTGTTAACTTGTCTTAAAATCATATCCTTGAACTTTTTCAGTCTGTTCCTGAACTAAGGGTAATGTTTAAAGTGTGCTTTTGTGTTAACCTAAGCTCCTACATTTGTTATGATCAACTTTTTGAGGAAGTGTTTCAGTTTCCTTTACCTGGGAAATTCCAAAGGTACTTTAAGTATACCTATTAAATACATTGATCAGTAAGTCCAGACCTCCATAATCAGTCGATTTCTATCAACATGAAATACCTTTAATTGAAGATACCCTTGCTCCTGTTCAGCAGCAAAATTTAGGAAATAATGACAGTAAAAGTCTGTGAAATGTTTTGTCTAAATATGTGCCTGTAACACCACACACACTCACCCCCAATGTCTAGGCAATACCTCTTGGTCGGGTAATTGCTGGAGAGGGTCATGATGACACCTTTCTGTATTGCCAATCTAATTAGGTTTGGCTGGGGCAGAAGGTGTAGAAAAAGTTGGTTTAGAGGGTAATTCAGCTGAGTGACTGGCAGTGAAGACTGGAAAGGACTGCAAATGGCAAGGGAAGCAAAAGCATGATTCTTCTAAATTACCTTTCTGTGCCCCTGCAGAGTAGTCAAGGCGAAATAAGTTTCCATGTCCCATTCGTACATATATTTATTTTCTTTCCCGAGTTACATCAAATAAGAAAACACTCCTTTCAAACATTGTTTATAAGCTGTATGGGTTGGTTGGTTTGGGGTTTTTTTTCTAACTTTTCTGGAAACATTGCTGCTGAATTATGCTGCACTAACATTTTAAAATGCTGTGTGTATGTATAGTTGATGGTATAATACTAGTTAGGCTCAATTTTGCCAGTGTTGCCAGTATTGGATTCACAGTAAGGCCAGCATAACATTACAGCGGGGCTTGAGACCATAAATGCTCCAACTCATTTGTCCTGTCTGAGTCATCATGGGTTAATTACGTGTTTGTACAGCCATGTGTAAAATAAAAATTTAATTACAAACCACTGATTTCTCAGTAATTAGTTATTTGGTACAGTACGGCAAACTGAAGTGGCTGAAAAGCCGTTCTCCTTCTGACTATTCTGGAGGTAGACTTGGATTGTGAAGGTGATGTGGTTCTCAAACAAGCCTGCCAAAAGATTTCTAGTTAAACCCATGTCAGTTAGCCTTCTGTGTCACGTTGAAGCAGCAAACGTGACTTCGTGGCATCCAGACACAAGAATGGCACTCCACTGGTACAGCTGTCAAATCTTGATTATATATAGGAATCATTTATATAAGCTGCTTTTGAGTATATGGGTGTCGTCTAAGCTCACATGATAGGAGCTAAGGTGATAGGAGCTGACTTGACTAATAGTTAGGAAATTACCAAGATTTTTAGTCTCGCTTGGTTTGTAACTACATGTTAAGGGAATCTAAGAATTGCTCCTTTCTGCTTTTAGGAAACAGTCTGGTAACACTGCTTTGTCACCTCTTCAATGTGCTTGGACTTATTCACCATTTCCAGTTAGATATGGTTACGTTACACAGGTTTTTAGGTAAGTGCTCACCTTGAAGCCATCTTTAAATGCAGTTTACAGCTTAAGTAGGGCGTCAAAGGCGGCACTGGCTTGCTCTGCTTCTCTACGTAAAATCACAATGTTGTTGCAAGGATTTCAGTGAAACATTTCTGTGATATGTATCAGCATACAATTTACAGGCTCTCAGGTACCTGGTTCAGTACCTATGAAGTCAGTGGAGGGACTTCGAAAGGTTCTGCATTGGGCTGAAGCATCCCAGTACCACAATTGCACTGGTAATTTAAAAACCAGTATGCCACGCAGAGATGTGGCCGGCCGAGTAGGCCCACACGGACGGACAGACATTGCAGAACCTACCCGTCCTCAGTACAATTGTGGTGCAGTGTGAGTATTTTAGTGACTAATAGACCACTGAGACCCAGGGCAGTTAAAAGCTTATGTGCAAAATTTAACAAATTATATCAAGCTGTTTGCACTGAATAGTGTTGATGAAAGCCCCTGCTGCTGTTGCTGCCAACAGAAATATTAGCCCCATGCTGTCAGTGAACCAAAAGAAGAAATTGGCCAAAATCAATTACTTTTTGCATCATGTTTTGAATGCAGCTGAATGCTGGTTTGTTAGGCTGTCAGGCGGAGTTTCCAAGGCAGGGTCTCTTCTTTAAGACTGCCTAATTGTTGCTTCTGGAAAGCATTCCTCAGGTGTGGAGACAGACAAAATCTCCCTGCCGTTTCTAACTCCTGTGGGCAGCCGTGAAGTGGACGCTCAGATAAATAGAGCTAGTGGTACCCAGGGTTTAGAGGATTACCCACGGTAACTTCAGATGCTTGTGGAGCTGGAAACAAACTGAAGGCTGGAATTTTCTTTGGTGTTCCCCATGCTGGAGAAAAATGCTAGAGGAAGTTTGCCCATTACTTTTCTCTTTGATTAATGTGATGGTGTCTAGGAGAGCACTTTGGGCAAGATCACGTGCAGCTTCCAGCTTCTGTTCATGTGGTGTTGCCGGAAGACCACCTAAACGGTGGAAGCAGTGCTGCAAGGAGCAGATGAGCGTGAGGCACACACCTCGATGATTTTCTGTGTGAGTGAAAGCTGAGAGTTCAAAGACTGGTGCTTCTGGTCCAGCTGGACCAGTTCCAGCACTGCAAACTAAAACAAGAGGGACTGGTGTTTCTAAATGAACACATAGATGTGACTGAAATTATCGCAGAAGATTTTGCTCCGAATAGCCCAGTGCTGTATCTTTTGATCCCGTGCCTGGAGGATGCAGGAATGCCTTTGCCTGCAGTTAGTACCTCA